AGGGCGAGGTGTTTACTCCTTTCCTGGCCTGTGCTCTGGTCTATGAGTGACCACAAGCACTCTTTTCTGCCTTGGAACTGTGAGGAGGATTCCCTCTCCATTGCCACAACAAACTCCACCATGCCAGCCCTCCTCCTCACTCCAGGACTGCCATCTAGAACTGTGACCCAGATTCAAGCACAGGCAAAGCAAGAGAATCCTGCCTCAGAATCAGCAAAAGATCCCTGCAATCTCCCTCTGATCAGCTACTCCATTCCCTGGTCTGGAAGCTCCAGAAGCAGCCACTGCCCCAGGGTTGCACCCAGGGCTGCGACTGGGACCACACTTCTGTCTCACCACAGTCACAGACTTTTCCTACTGCCCTTCTAAGTTGTCTTTGGTGTTCGTGGGTTAAAAAGTCTGGAAACCACCACCACTGCCTGTGATTCAGTGTGCATGTTTTCTTGAGAAGCATTTTCATCCAGGGTAAAATCTCAGCCTAAAATCCAGTTGTAGAAAAAAAAAATATATAAGGAGTTCATAAGTCAGTTCACTGCTGATAGTAGTATCTTTCTTCATTGTAGCAAAACTATCCTTGGACCTACTGAGGAAATGGCAGTTATTTCCTAAATCACCTCTATTGTGATGACACATTGCCTTAATCAGCCATTTTCAATAGTGAGTTGGAGACAAGTTGGGCAGCTCTTTACTCTACCCAGGCCCTGAGTAAGCCTCTTTTTGACAAACACGATTGTCCTTGCTTTTAAATAAAACAAATACTCTTTCATAACCCATTGAGCTTTTCTGAAATACAGCAGCAAAGAGATTAGTCACCATGGGGCAAGACAAAGTAATCGTGCTGAGGGTCTGGTGGAGAAAAGACATAGTCAAGAAAACTCCACAGATAGGTGAGACTTGGATTTGATTGGTTTTCAGAAATGATGCCCTCTGTTATCATGTCTCTTTGACTTAACTGGCTCCAGCTGACCTTAAATCTTGGGCACTGGGACTAAATGGTGTAGTAGGAGACTGGGTTTCTCCAATTGTGTTTGTTTCTAGTCTTATTCTCTCCCCAAATCAACTGATCACTCTAAAAGCATTTATCATAAGGCCTTGTCACAAGCTAGGCAGTGAAGACACCAAGACAAAAATGAAGCAAGACTTGTCCTCAGGGAGCTTACATTTTATTGTATATACGATATATCATATATGCTATATATGCTATGTAGCATATACTATATATCATATATGCTACATATAGTATATAGCATATGCATAAATAAATGCCCATGTATGTATTAATATTGGACTGGATCTGTGATTTCACTGGTATTGAGAACTCCCCACAAGGAAACTCCCTCTGTCAATGCAAATTAACACCAGCTTGGCAAAATATAGTTGAATAGAGAGAGGGAGAATTCTTGTAGACAGAGGAGAGAACAACTTGTTTGAAGGCATTGCAAGAAGACCATAGAGCACCTTTATAGGATAAATGTGAAATAAGTCTAGAAAGGTATGTTGGACCCAGGTTGTCAAGGGGTTTAAATGCCAAAGAAAAAAGTTTTTGTTTCATCTTGGGGATAAGAAGGTACGATTTAACCATTCTGGGCCTCATCTCTTCATCTGTAAAACAAGATGATCGGACAAGATGGTGTCTCAGGACTCTTCCAGCTCTAAATATATGATTCTATAATTCAATAGCATGGACAAGAGTCACATGAGAGGGGCAGGTGTGACTGGCCTAACATCTGAATCATTGGATGGAATTCCTAAATTGATGAGATCTCATATACAATTTTGGTTGATATATGAAATGATGAGAAGTGGTATGGATGGCATAGTAGAAACAGAACCAGTTTCAAAGCCAGAAAGACACACTTAGGTTCAAGTCTCACTTCTGGAACATAAGTGGCTGTATGATTCTTGTCAAATCATTTAATCTCTCGATGATCTATTCGCCTCTAAAAACTATAATTTACAGAGTGATGACCTGCATTGTTTGTAGGAATTTTTCCATTTGGGAATATTCTACATTAATTAATCCACAGGTCCAGTTCCTATGCCTATTTGTAATAAAGGCAAAACAGAAGTGTTCCTTCAGGAAGACTTTAGTTTTCTTCTGCTATTAGTTTTTCCTACTGATTTATCTGTTTATGTTCAAGGTCTTTGAAGTTTTTTTTTTTTCCTTCATGATACTTTCAATCTTTCCCTCCCCCCCTTTTTTTTGCTTATCATTCACTTCTTGACTCCCTCTCCTCTGATTATGATTAGGTGCTGGATCTCAAAGCATCTCAGACTCCTCCCACATCCCTAGTGACCTGTTCTATTCCCTCTGTTTCTCAGTTCTTGGCCAGGCATCAGCAGTCTAGAGCCTGTCCCCACCCCACCTCCCAACCCCGCAGGGAGGTCAGAGCTTTGCTTTGTGGGTGCTTCTAGGTTGCCACCTCCAGCAAGCTTTTGCTTCTGCAGGGTTGTGGCCACGCTGGCTGTTTGGTATTGAGCAAACTTCCACAGCCTAGAACTGGGTGTCCATGAAACTGGTAAGATGGAGGGGCACTCAAGGTACAGGGGTAGGTTTTCATGCAAGCTTCTGTCCTGTCCTTGGGTGTGCTAGTATAGCTTCACTTGCAGTAGCATGGAAGATGGGGAAGCGCTGCTAAGTGAGCTCAGGGTTAGTGAGCGTCAGTTCTTGTTTGTATTTTTTTAAACTATCATTTGGGTTCTGGGTGTCCTAGACCATGGAGACTGCTGAAGTTGCTTTATCTTTGGCACATAATTTTTGTTTTGGAGAGGTAAAACCTGTCCCTTGTATTTTCCAGGATACATATACTAGCCCCTGAGAAGAGCTGCATCTTTAGAAACACAAGATAAGTCTAGTTTAAAGGTGTGATACCTTCATGCCCTTTCCATTTTTCTCCTAGTCTCTTTCTTCTTGTCTTTCAGGAAACTGAGGCCCGAGGAAGTTAAGTGACTTGTTCAAAGTCACACAGCTAGTAAGTGGCAGAGATAGGTTTTGAATTGCTTTGCCTGACTCGAGTCCCTGTTTTATTTTTTAAATTGCACCATGCAATTGAACACAGTTCTCCCACTGTCCTCTCTTTTTCCCTAATCACCAGCAAGAGGAGAATGGATTAGCTACTGACAGAACTTGTGCTCTAAGTAGGGCAGGTTGCAATTCAAATATTCTCTCACCGTCTTCTTTGCTCCCTTTCTGGAATGTGTGCATGGGCAAGTGTAGGAAGTAGGAATCCTGGCTAGCGTGCTCATCTGGGAAATGGGGAGGAGGGTGGGTGGATAGGGGGGGAACTAGGCAGGACCGACAGTGCTGGTGCTCGATCTCTCCTGCTTGGAGTGCAGCTACTGCTGTCACGCTTTTCACCGGCTACATCAGCATCGCCAAAGCAATGAATGGATGAGAAGAAGGCTGGAGCAGTTCGCTGCTGCCACACCCAGACCACATTTAACCCCAGTTCTTTCCGTCTCCAGCGCCGTGGGAAGGAAGGCTCATCCTTCAAGGAGCCGCGGTGTGGCACACCGCACGCCTGCCACGGCCCGACAGAGGCTGGAGGTGGAACCGACCCGGCAGTCCTCGCTTGAAGCAGCGCGCATCTTCCTCCCGGAGGCACCATTGTGCAGGGCACCGCTGGATCCCAGTGAGCTGGGTGCGGGGCGACGCCAGAGCAGCACTCGCCTGCTTTCCGCCTCTTTTCTCTGCGGAGCTTGTCCCCGCGCTTTCGGAGGCCACGGGCAGGCGAGCGAGGGCGGCGTGAGCCCGTGGGAGCTGCCGGCCCGGCCCCTAGCAGCGGCAGCCGCACCAGCAACTGCACTCGCGCTGCATCTGGGGAGCAGAGTGTATGTGTGTGGATCTGTGAGAGAGTGCGTGTGCGTGAGGGGGAGAGCAAAGACGTGATTACTTCAGAATTTATTTAAGGGCCGGTGGAAACCACTGCAGCAGCTTCCAGGGGAAGCCCCTGCCCGCCAGAGAGAACGAGGAGGCGCACCGAGAACGAGCGAGGGGAAAAGGCGATGCCTTAGCAGCTCCACGGACCCCAGTTTCAGTACAACGCGCGCAGGCAGCAGGTTGGTTGGGGCGGGCCAACTTCTTAGAGTGGTTGGGAGGGGTAGGCCGCCCGGGGGGGGTGGGGGAGGAGAGGGGGGGGGGGGGGGGGGGGGGGGGGAGGGCTTGTATTACCTGCCCTTTTGAGCCGGGAGCGCATCTTTTAAGTGCATTAAGATAGAGCACGGAACAAACCTGTCCAGGATGAGGGGAAGAGGGCGCGGAATTCCTGCCTAGCCTTTCTCACCTGCCAAGGGGTTCTGTTTTACTGTTGCTTTGGGGCTAATGAATGCTCACTAACTCCTTTGTAGAGAAGGTGGCTGCTCAGAACCAGGTGGGGCGCTCTTCCTCCTACCTCCCCCCCCCCATTCTATGCTTTTTAGTGCCCTCGTTTTAAGGGACACAAGAGTGAGTTTATTCACCTCTAGGGACCCAGACTTGGGGGGCGGGGAAGGAAGCGAGAGGTAGTTGAGATTTGTGGTCCGTTCGATTAAGTTTTGGAAAGTCGGTATGCTTCCTCTCTCCCCCTCCTCTTCTCTCCCTTGCCTCCTCTTCCAGCTGTAAGCGTGATTCGTGTGGAGGAGGTTGCTCCTGTAAAGGGGCCGCTGGGGCTTTAAGAGCCGCCTCCCCCCCCTCCTCCTCTTGACAATGGTCTGAGCCGAGCTCTGCTTCCCAAAGCAAAATTTGTAATATGCCATTTTTCCGATGGACGCTTCTCCTTTTGGCTGCTGATGGAGGAGGCACGAGAAGACGCCGGGATGCTGCTGCTACTGCTGCCTCCGAGCCCAGACACTTGCCGGCAAAGCACTGGGGCCGAGGCTTTCTCTGAGCCACCCTCCTCCTACCCTTGCTAGGGAAACGGTCCAGGAGCGCCCGGCGTGAGCCGACACCCCCCTCCCCAACCCCCCATCAAGCCGGTGGAGACTGCGGTTGTCATTGATCTATTGGAGCAGACGCCAAAACACAGGCATTAGGTACCAAATCTTCCTGATAGCTCCACGCGCTCTTCCTTCTTCTTCCACCCCCCTGGCCCCACCCCACCCCCAGGGAAGATGTATGTGATACAGGATTCATCCTTGCTGGGGGCTCTAACCCTCCTTATCTTTTTCCTCTTTTCTTTTTTTTTTCCTTTCCTACTTCCCCTACTTCTTTACCCTTGCCCCTCTTCCTGTGCTCCCGGTTGATACTGGGTGGTGAATTTTAGTGTGGGGATCGTGAAGTCAACTTCTGGGTGGGGGGGTGTGGCCGCCGGGTTTGGTGTCCAGGAGAGTTCGAGAGGAACTGAGGCTGGCCCAGTGAGTATTAGGACATATGCAAATCAGTAGGGTGAAGAAAGTGAGAAATGCTTCCCTTAGAAATGATAGTCTTTTCTCCGGAAGACGTCAAAGAGTTAAGTAGGAGGGGAAATATGCATGCAATGCCACTCAGACAATGGCAAAGATTCTCTCTTGCTGAATTACTCACTCCCGGTAGGTTAACTGAGGTGGAGCCCATGGGGTTCTTAAGAATAAACCATTGCAGTTGAAACTCGTCCTTACCCTCCTCTCCTTTCGTGAGTTTTAAATTCTGATGAGCTATTGGGATAGAAAAATTCAATGACATCCCTCAAGGAGTTTAAGTCTTTGTAGTCTATGTCACATCTGAATAGGTCCTCCTTGGACTGCTGGAGATTGACAGAAAACAATTGCTTTCCATCCTGGAAGTCCTGGAGCCTGGAGTCCAGCTGGCATCCAAAACTTTTATTTGGACACCAGAGGGATATGAAAGACAGTCAAGGTTATGGTCGAAGGAACATTTTCCTGGTTTCGCATTTTGAGAAACTGAAAGACTTTAAGACCAATTCAAGCACCAGCCACCAACCTTAAATACCTACATTAATTTTCTTTCTCACCAGCCCCCCCCCCCATGAATGATACTTCTAACTCCCGAATTTGACCCAAGAGTTGTCTAGTAGTGAAAGCAGTACCAAGTAGGCTAATATACTGTATGCATCTCAGGATTTTTATGGCAAATTTTAAGTATGTCCTTCCGTGCTGTCCAAGAGTGAACTTGCATATTGCCGAATGTTAACAAATGCATTTAAAAGCCTAGGTACTATGTTGAGGAGGGGGTGCAGATCCCAATAAGTCATTCAAATTCTTCCATTTATCTTCCATTCCACAATTAGGTCATTAAATTATTCAATCTATCTAAATTGATAAACAGTCTATTTAAAAAAAAAAACAGAGGGATGTGTTGAGGGAATATTGCAAGTGGAGTTTCTAATGATGACATTCATTAGAAAGAACCTCAGTGCTCATATACCAATTGGAGCTTATACACAGAAGAGGTCTTTTTTTTTTTTCTTGGTGGCATAGTCCTTTTAAAAAAAAAATCCTTCCCTTTTTTAGTGACTATTTATTGCATTAAAAAAAACTGAAAGTAGAGGACTTCATCTGAATGAATTGGATCAAGGTTTAGCTTGCTTCTGTGATATATATTTTTTTCTTAAGTATTTGAGAATGATCTATCCTGACAGCATAGTGTTTTTGCTTTTTTGTTTGTTTGTTTCAGGTGGAATTCTTTACAATCTTTTAGGTATCCTGAAAGTTTAGGGAAGCAAATATACCATTTATTCATTTTGTCTCCCAAGTAACCAGCAATGGTGGCACATTGGGATTTCTGAGTAGAGGATGCTGGTACATCCAGTGGAACTGTTTCGTCACTGAGGCAAAATCAGCCAGGAGGAAAATGTACTCACTTTTTGTAGTGGGGTTAGGCTACCTTGCTCATGAGAAGATTTTTTTTGGTTGAGAAAGTCAAGGGTTAGCTTTATATTGGTAGGTCTAAAAGTTGTTCAGTTATAGAGTAGCTATAACACAGTTGAGTCAGCATTTTTTTTAAAGTCTTGTAGTACCTTGAGAGGATTATTGATCCTGTAGCATTTTCTCATTGATCCTCTTTTTGTGTGGAGATATGCCTCAGTTTACTTTCTTCTTAAATTTTAATATAAAGGAATTATCTGCAGCTTTATTACCCTATTTGTTTTTTTAAAGATTTAGTTAAAATAATTGGAGAAATAATCAAGTTTAGTAATTTGGCATTTCAAGCAGGTAATGACTTGGGTAATAGAATGATGAAGTTTTATGTCTCTCCAATCTTTTAACCTATGACCAACTTTACTAAGCAATTCAAGTGTAGAAGCTGTCAAAGCATTATAATTTTCCTTGGCCTAAGGTTAGGTTTTGACTTTAAGTACTAGAAAGAAAACAATATGGGCTTCTTAGGATTAGTTTTGAGATTAGCACAGCTGTTCACTATATTAATTTCTTGCATGGTATGTGTGCTAATAGTTTTTGAATATTGAACTGTCAGAACATCCCATGTATTCCTATTCTGTAGCAATTTTGTAAAGTGAAATTTGAAGGTATTCCATTTTTTATCCTTTTCCCTGCTAGTTTCTGATGGCAGGTAAAGATGAGAAAAATTCAGAATGCTGTGCTTTTACCCATTAGGAGTTGTCAGACTGTTGAAGAATAAAGTGCCCTTTGTTAGAGCTTTGCTTAAAAGCAGCATGAATGACATGCTGTTGAGTATTCTAACCTGGGGTCAAGAAGGCCTGAGTTCAAATTCTGCCATTGACTTAAGTATCTCTACAACTATGTACAATTCACTTAGTGTGTCGTGTCTATGAATCTCAGACAACTCTAAAACTATCTGCTAAGACACAGACCAATTCATGGTGGACATTTCTAGAAGGAGTTCCCCAGGTTAGTCATTTAGTGCATAAAATATGATGACCTAAATTTAGATATGGGCAATCATTCTTCTTTAAAGTGTGGAAAATGGTAAAAATGACATCCAAAAATGCCCATTTAAAAATAATTTTCAACAAACATTTATAATAAGCAGGAAGAATAGTCTTAAGAGCCATAAGATCTAATTAATAAATCCTCAGTCTAACACTTGCTAGCTGTGTAACTGATCCTGGAAAAAGGAACTTTTTTTTTTGGCTAGGCAATGGGGTTAAGTGACTTGCCCAGGGTCACACAGCTAGTAAAATGTTATGTGTCTGAGGCTGGATTTGAAATCAGGTCCTCCTGACTCCAAGGCCTGATCTCTATCCACTGCGCCACCTAGCAGCCCTAAATAAGGAACTTCTAAGCCTCAGTTTCCTCAGCTGTGAAATGGTGATACAGTATTAACACAATTGGAGGGTTTCAGTAAGGAAAGTATTTTGTAATTATTAATTCAATGTGAACATGTGAGATGTTATTGCAGGTAATAACATTTTTTCACCTTTTTCTTCCTCATGCTGGTATTAAAAAAAAAAAAACTTGGCATTTTTTCTGTCTGAAAAATCTGACTTCTTTAAAGTTATGAAGAGTGTGCGTTATGCCTTTCCCTTCTCTGATTGTGGATCGGTAATATCTATCTCTGTGACTGTGTCTATCCATCAAAGGTGTCCCAAAGATTTTGTGGAGTTTAAAGCTACTAGTATTATAGTAGCTACTAAACTTTAGTAGCTTAAAACTGCACTAAGACTTTTGGGACATGCTTTCACCACGTATTATAGTGGTCACTTCAATATAGTTCAAAATTTAGGCATGTATGTTTTCCACCAAAGGGTTTGTATTCTCCTTAGTCAATCAGGGCAGGTAAGAAATGGAAGATCTTATCAAACTGGGAAGGAAAGAATATCTCATTTCACTCCCTCATTTTTCATTTGAGGGAACTGAATCCCTGAAAATTGAAAAGACTTATCCAAGGTGACACAAGTTAGTGAGTGGCAGAGCTAAGATTTTGAACCAGAGTCCTCTGACTCCAAATCCAGCATCCTTTCTTCATTGTGACCAATCCAGTCACAGACAATTTCATTTCTCTCACCAATAACCCAATTTTTAGAAAGGAATGATAAAATAAGTAACTAGAGTCTGATCTTTGGAGCTTGACCTCCTTCCTATTCAAGAAGATGACCTGAAAGGAGTGGCACCTAGGAGAGACTATTTAGATAGAATGATGAATTGTCGTAGTTTTAAGTCAGAGGATCTATTAAAATCTACCAAGTTCTACTATACTAAAATTCCAAAGTATGAATTGCTAACAACTTATACATGCCAGCATTGAAAGAACAAGATAAATTGTGTTGTAACAAATGGGAAATTATAGAACATTAAAGATTTGGCAAAGAATTCTTAAAGCTTTTGTGACCTCTGTCAATACCTGTTTTAACTCTTGATGGCTGTTGGATTTTCCCCTAAAGCATGATAGAAAAAGCATGGAATCTAGAGTCAGTGGTCCAGGGCTCAAATCTTGACTCTGTCTCTTAGTAAATATGTGACATTGGGCAAGTCATTTAATGACTCTGGACCTCATTTTCTTCATCTACAAAATAAAAGGATTAGAGTAGGTGATCTCTAAAGTCCCTTTGGCTGGAGAAGGAAATGGCAAACCATTCCAGTGTCTTTGCCAAGAAAACCCCAAATGGGGTCATGAAGAGTGAGACACGACTGACAAATGACTGAACAACAAAGTCCCTTTGAGCTCAAAATTTTTGATTCCATGAAATTATGAAACAACTGAAAACAGGTTGAATCATAGCCAATTTCATACCAGAAAAAAATGTTTTCTCCTGTGTTAATTTGCCTTTACATTTATTATTCCTATGTCAGAAATAAAGTCATATTCTTATTCTTCGTCGTGGTGTAGAGGTGACTTTGTGTTCTCAAAGGCTATGCCAGGAGGGCAGTATCTGTGCCAGGCATTACCAAGCTGGACAGGCTTTGAATTATGGGCCATGTGATAGACTGAGAAATGGTAGTTTTATCATCACGTAAGGCTGGCTAAGTGCAGAGTTTCTTTGCCAGGAGGTTTGACCACTGAATGATGATTTTTTTTTTCTTAGTGAAGTGAGGGGACTGTAGGGGGAGGGGACAGCAACTCAAAAAAGCTTTGTCTTTTCCAGTGTGGAGAGATTGTGATCTGTGTCAATAAG